CAATATGTGTGCATTATCAACCAGACTTGACTTTCATTCTCAAGAGCACATTGGCCAAAATAATACATAACCTGTTTCCAAAGGAATGTGATGCACTGCCTAAATAACAAGAAAATTGCAACCAATTTAAACATTATAATGAATTGAATATTAGAAGTTAAAAATGAAAAATGCTCTTATGTTTATTTTTTAAAAACAGGTGGAATATCTCACAACTCACACAGATTGGTAATAAGTAAGCAACATAGAAGATGCTCCCAGAGAGTCTGAGTGTTTAAGATGAAAACTGGAGATGATTCAACACTGTGTGGAGGCTCAGTAGGCATTTGCTTCAACAGTTTGAGAATTTCTTTTGTTTAAGAATTTGTATATCTCATCTTCTACCATGGTAGAGATCATATAACAGAATCAGAAAACTCAGAGAAAGGCCAATATTAAAAATGACATTCTGCAGTGGATATCACTGGATGGGCCTGGGGAGACTTTTGAAAAAACATTTCCAGTAAAGTCAGCTTGTTGTGCATCCAAAAATGGAAGTTAACATACTACCATTCAAAAAATAATAATAATAATCCAGAAACAGCAATGTGCACCATGTTCTGTCTGCTTGTTATCAGCACACAGTTCAAATTGATATATGCAGGTTTTGGAGAAACATATACTGCCAGTGCAGCTCCGGTTTTCAGGTACGTCTTGTTTATTTCAGCAAGACGATGCCAAATCACATTCAGCAACTATTACAAAAGCATGGCTCCATAGTGAAAGAGTACAGTTGCTAAACCGGCCTGCTTGTCCATACATGGCACATAAAATACTTACTGTATTATTAAACAAAGAATAACACAAAGGAGGCTCCAAGCAATTGAGCAAATGGAATCATATATGAAGTAAGAATAGAAAAGCGATTCATCCCCTCCGTTCCCAAGGGCTTGAAGAATCTCTTGAAGAGAACCGGTGATGCAACACCATTGTATACATGGCCCCGTCGAGATATTTTTGGAAAAGCGTTGCTTTGTATTCTTCAGCAGTAACATTTCTCGGGTTTAGTACTTGAAACTATGTCGTTTTTGTAACGTTTTCAGTCAAATATAGATGTGTACAAAAATTGCAACTCATTGCATTCGCTGTTAGTTCACACTGCACAGGGCATGCCAACTTTTTTTTTGAGAAACACGCTTGCACAAAAATAAAAGGGGCTCTCAATAAATAATCAAGAAACGCAATACTGTTGTTGCAAAACATTATCTTTATCTGAACATCTTGAGATAAGCACAGGCACTATTGAGACATTCAGAAGAATGATGCTGCATGTTCAGGTTCCTCATTTTCTCTTTCTTATGTCTGGTAATGTGTGACCATCGTGACAAACAGAGCTACTGATGCTGTGCGAGCGACAGACCATTGCGCTTCCAGTTAATTTCCAAAACGATTATTAATCTTTCAACTTTCACGCACGTTTTTTCATTCTGTCTGCCACGTCGGTATCAGCGATACCCGTGAAACAACCTGCTATGAGATGGATTGCATTTTCAGTCAGATACCGATCTGCATATTCCCACTAACGGCTGCACACATTACCTGATACATGTCACCCCTTTTGTACTTTTTAGCTTTTTGTTTTTTTTTTCCATAATCAATATAAAAAAAGAAAAAACTTAAACTGCCCTCTCTATTTTTTTCCCTTCCCAGAAGCTGACTCCAAAAATATTCCCCTTTTGATACCACAACCCATTGCACACATCCATTTTTTTTTTTTTTTTTTCGGTCATGAGGCGGTTTTTCCCACTCATGTTTGCTAAAGCTTTCTGAATACTACAACAAAACCAAAAATACCACAATTCCTTAATTTTAATGAATATTTTAACAACCACGGAAAGAACAGCAGACAAATCATTTCAGATTAGCGTCAGTACAAAACGTAACGCACATGAAGCAAATGAAGCCTGAGCGACTCTACTGTGGGCAGTTCCCAGCCAGCACCTCTGGCCTGTTTTTTAAGCACAGTTGTTTGGAGAACTGAGCTACACAATAAGTAAACTCTGACAGCCATGAAAGGTTCAGGCAAGCTGGAAAGCAGAGATGTCAAAGACTAATTGAAGCAAACAAACACAAACAGGGAATGTGGGCGTTGACCTGGGAACTGTGTCCAGATTCAAAACCACTGTGGTTGCAGTAATAACAGGGTGCTCTTTGGCATGCTGTGGCAGTGGTTGAGTCAGGGGCTGGGTGCTAGGAACTTGGGTTGGGAAGTCCCTTCTTTGATTCCTGGTAGACATTCACCTTTCTTGACTTAGTCAGCCACCTAGTTTTTCCATCTTAGAACAATGAGAAAACACTGTGATTTATGTCTCTGTGGGATGTGATATTATACTGGGCCATACAAAACCATCCACGTTCCCAAAGCTTGTGAATGTACAGCTGAATAAAATGTGTAACTGTAGCCCATCAGTGTATATTTAATGTTACATGAATTAACTCAAACTTAGTTATCGTCACATTTACAACTTTTCTCTGAATGTTTGTGCAGATGTGTAAAATGTTCATTTAAAATGTTTAGTATGATGATAGATAGACGTGCGTGTGTGTGTGTCTGTGTGTGTTTTCCCGCTTTCTGTTTAACAAGTTAATTCAGCGACTACAGTGCGAGGAAAGAAATGACTGTGACATCGGTTTTCAGATTCACATTTCTGAGAAATTCTGCGAGCAGTTCTCCAAGCATGTGTTTACTTCTGCTTGCTTTAACAAATACTTGAATCCTATACAAAGTATTAACATATGCGTCTGACACAGAAGCTGAAATAACAGCTTCAAGTGATTCGGTGCCATCGATGAACGAATAAATCTAACCATTGTGTTGTACACAATGTACGCGGCAAGGGGTCTGCAACAGAGGAAGAAAGATGCCAAATATTTAACATGGCCCAGATTGGTTCCAAAATCATCATTGTCACTGTGAGGCTGCCAGTGCTGTACACACACTACAACACAATAAATATGAATTACTCTACAACACAATAAATATGCATCTCTATCATCGGGAATTGTGTGAAAAGTTTTGCACAATGGGGCAGTTTCTCTATAACACACAGCCTTTGTGAATTCACTGTTCACAGCGCTGCAGATCAGGGCAATGAGGGGATTTTTTGTTAAGGATTGTAATGGTCACTTGCTATGTAAGACACGCTCCCCTCCATTCTCCCCCTGCTCCTCTCTCTCCCTTGGCGGTTGCTCTGCCAGATAGAGGAACAATGTAGTCTTTCTTACCTGTTGGAGGGTGTGCATTCCATCTCTGCTAAACTAAGTCTCAATCCTGCCTTCGAGCCCACCCCTGCTTTAACAGGGCCCTCACTGCAATGCCGGCTCTGACTCCAGGTGCTCCACATCACACTCCTCATACCTTTCCTTTGGGAGGATTTGAAAGGACATTGTTCTTGTACGGTTTGGCCGGGACAGAGATAATCATACGCTAGTTTTTCTCTCACATTTAGTTGTTTAATCGGATCCTTTTATGTGTATTGTCATTACACAATTAGAATCAGAATTGCTTACATTGTTTAGCTATATATTTGTAAACATCTACCTACTTCACTGTGGACTGACAGAATGATTGCCGTGTTATGTGCCAGACTGTTGGTTTGTGGTTTGTCATGTGGGCAAAAGGGAAATTTGGAGGTTGGGGTGCAAGTGTGCTATTAAGGATACAAGAGTGCAAAAAATTGTGGTGTGGGTGCTTTACAGGAAGATTGCGTTTGTCTGCACTGAGCCATCCCATTTATGCCGGCGGCTGTATGTGTAGCTGAACAGAAAGAGAGACTCACAGTTGAATAAGAGATAGAGCAGGAGGCCTCATGTGTTTTACTTCTTGTGATCTGTTAAAAGTGAGTAACACCGCGACAGCAGCACTCAGAACTTTTCTTGCCTGTAATTCCAGGATTGTTCTTCACATCTGATTTTTTTAAACTCACCACCAGCTGAAGACGCAGAGAATGTTGCTCAGGTAAGTTCATTCATATCTTCCTTTTGTTGATTTTTTAGACTTTGCTTTTTTAAAGCTTTTTAATAGCCATGTTTGGAGGCTGTAATTTTCCTACTTATAGTTTTTGCGATTTATAAAAAGCCTAACATAAAACAATGCTATGAGAGTATTGAATGAAGAATACATTTAGAGTAAACTAAAGGGTTTTTTTTAATTAGATTTTATGTTTTTGACATTTCAGATAATATTTTTGCTTTTCATTTAGTTCTTAATCTTGAATTTAAACTCCTTCTGTACATGAAGGAGCCTTAAGCAACTCACCACCAACAGAGGACTGGATAAAGCAGAATACGATACTTTTAATTCCATGTTGCAGGACATTTACGCAATTGCAAACAGACTTACTCAGACTCTCCAAACATTTTTTTTTTTTTGCATGTTAAATGCATGTGGTTTGATTTTGAAGGTCAGAAACATTGTATTAAATGTTTCATTAAAATAAAAAATGGAAAATGAAGAAAAGTCCAGCAGATGAAGGAAGAAAACTATGAGATTATATCACATTTGGACTATCTAAGTAAAATTATTTAATGCAGGGAATTGCAGATCCTTCGAAGGCTAAAAGAAATAAACTGTGATCTGCGGTACCTCAGACACAGCCTAACTTTTTTCATTTTAAATTATTTAATTTTAATTAGTAGTATAAATTTATATATATAAAAAAAATATATATAAAAAACTTTAAAGTGGTCAGGGATTAAAATTAATTGATGAAAAAACTGCTGCTTGCTCAAAAATACTTATTTTTATTCATAAAAATGACCTTTCAACTGCACGGATGAAATAAGATGATGATCATAATTTTCGCCCACAAAAAAAGCCTTAAGTCATCGACCACAATGTCAAGGAATATTCCCACTATAATTTCAGTATTTGTGTTTTTAACAGGGTCAGCACAGATAAAGATTGTTATATAAAGAGTCTCAGTCAACAGATAGAGACTATAGTGGTCTAACAGAAGTGATGTCCCATTCAGAACCCTAACTGGGTTTTGAATGACTGAGCAAACAGCTATGAAACATAAAAAATGACCAATGCTGTCTATCCTAATTAAAAGAGTTGAGAGAACCATTACTGGAAACATGTTAGCCCTGCACCAACATTTCCAAAGCTGCCACCAGGCCCCCGTTACTCTTATAGAGCACGCTGTTTTCCCGCAGATTGTCTTATCAGCAGTAGGCATAGCTGCACCCTGAGACAGCTGATGGGAGGAGTCATCTCAACTGAACTGAACCTTTTATGTAGCCCAACAGAACCTTTACAACACCCCAACAGTCATCTGTTTAGCACATATGTGTAATGTGCTAAAGACTCATCGGGAATTTGTGTTTGAAGGAGTGGTGTGACTGAACGGTTCACCTATACGCACGAGTCAATGGAGTAAATGCGTTGTTGGTGATTTTTTCTGAATTTCCTTCTTTTTCAGTGTAATATTTTTTCATGACATGCTCTTGTCTTTCTCTGCCAGGTTGAATTTTTGCAACAAAAGCGTCTCCTGAATGTGTTCCACAGCCAACTATGTTCTCCCTCTGAGGAGAACCTGTGAGGTAGGACCGTCTATAAGGCATGAAGACACAAACCTCAACATGTAAAATAGATACGTCCATATATATATAATAATTTTAAAATCCACATAACAAATCAGAAATTCTTCTTTTTCTAAAAGGTAGCAGCCACTTCAGGCAAGTTGTGTGGGGGAGTGCCCATGCCAACTAATTTCCCTGGAGTGAGATCTCATGGAGCTCCTCAAGACACAGAGATGGATGTGGCTTGGCAGGAGTTGATGGCCATCACAGAGCTGCAGGTAACTATAGCACCAAATACACTGGGAGCACTGCAAAAAACAATGCTGAATTTTACTTTACCTTACTTTATCATCATCACAACTTTTTATGCTACATTATCATGGAGTTTCGGGTTTAATTTGAATAAATCAGTCACTAAATAAATAAATAAATGAGAACAAAATGAGAACATGATATAACAGAAACTCTCACATTATTTTGCTTTGATTATCTTCTCTTATTAATTGTTTTTTTAAAGTAAAAAGAACCTGATGAGATATCTGAACTCAAGAAAAGACCAAAATAGCTGAACAGTCTTAACACTTATGCTTTTACTTATAACAGTATGGGCTATTAAGTGTCTACAAGCAGATAGCTACAAAGATGTCAGAGGAAGTCAAGCCCACAGCTGTGTTTAGGGATTTACAGTAGCTGTGAAAGGTAGAGCAATAAAAAAGAAAGTGAAAACTAGAACGCCTCTTCTATTGAGTACAAAATTCCCGTATGACTCTGAAGAGGGTGCAAGCTTAGCTGTTGCAGGAGTGGTGGTGCAGCATTACACTATACAGTGTTTGAAACAGGGCCTTTGCAGAGTCATCAGGAAGGAAGCATTACCTGCAACCTCATCACAATGTCTCAACTCAGTGTCTATAATGTACAGAGCAACATCTGGAAAAGCCAGTTGTTCTTAAAGTGCTGTGGAAAGATGAATTCAAATGGAGCTCTTTGGCCACAGTCACCAAAGGTATATTTGGAGAAAGTGCTGCTTCAATGAAAAAAGTCCTCTGCCAGCTGTTTAGCTCCGAGGAAGGGAAATATATTTTGTTGAGTCTGTGTTGTAGTCAGTGGCATAGCAAGCAATATAAGTGGGTTAAGAAAATAAATAAAAACCCTCTCACTACAGGAACAAGTGTGCGTCTTTTCTCATTGTAACACACGGACGTTATTGAGTGTCTAGTTGAAAGTAGGACTAATGTGATTCATAGATGACAGAATATCTTTGTTTGAACAGATTTCATGTGACACTTGTTGAAAAACTAATATACATCCAGGTGAGATGGGCAACAATGGTCTATTTGAGTGATGGCAGGATAGGAGGATTGTGAAAGGGGGCATGCTGTGTATTGCTAGTGGGCGCCTGTACTGCACAATAGCCGTTCTGTTTCCAGGTGGAACCTGATCGCATCTTTAAGAGCGCTTCATATTCTATGGGTGGTGGGTTGAAGTGGGGGCAAACCTTCTTGTATAGCAAACCAGATAAACTTTAAAAAAACACAATGATTATCTCATGGGGTCTTATTTACATTTAATTGGTTTTAGTCATTTCACTGTTGTGAGTGTGACATATCTTTGAACCTGTCAGTCATGAGTGGGTGTTTCTCTTACAGGAGTTCGAAGTCCCTACTGAAAACTCCTATGAGACAACACAGTACCAAACCATGGAGCCCATGGCTTCTGTGGGAGAGTATGGGATGGCTCAGCCCCACTCGGAGCCCCCTGCTGCTTGTGAGCTGAGAACCGCTGACGCTTACAATGGATTTTACTCCGAAGAGGTGCCTACCTGTCACCGTCTAGGCACCTCCACAGAAACAATGTATGGAAACTCTGAACTCAATCAGAGAATACTCCCCATCTCCTCTCACCCACAGCAATCTTTTGTGCCCCTTAGGGAGCAAACAAACATGTCAGGTGTCAATCAAGGGCACAGGAGAACCAATGCGTGTCTCACTCAGGGACTACGTGGGCACATGCAGTGGACTGTACATGGACAAAATGCACACACTCGCTCCGGCGATGACCTGGAGTCCGACTCTGGTCTGTCACTGGGTTCCAGTCCACCATTGGCCTCTCCAGATAATCCTGTTGGTGGCGCTCCAGGTTACCAAAGCGTAGACATAGGAATGGCATATAGTGATGGCGAACCAGACAGCATGACTGAGCACACGAGAAGATCCCACCTCCATTACTCAGCGGATTATCAGAATCATACTCACTCATATTTACACTCAGGTGCACATCCGTCTTATTTTTCAGCCCAACCCATTTTATCTCAGCCACAGCCGAGTACTCCTCGATCAATGAAACTCCAGGGTTCGGCTGCAGCCTTTAGTGACCTATACAATGATTCTGCAATGTCCAGCAGAGGAAGCTCACACCTTAACATGTACATAAAACCCCAAGGAAGCATCTCTACCCCTCCCCTGAGCAGAGACGAGCGGCGGGCCTTAGCTTTGAAGATCCCCTTCCCCATGGATAAGATTATCAATCTACCTGTCGATGACTTCAATGAGCTCCTGACACAGTACACTCTGACAGATGCTCAACTAGCACTGGTCAGGGACATTCGACGAAGGGGGAAGAACAAGGTCGCAGCTCAGAACTGCAGGAAGAGGAAGCTCGAAAGCATAATTCACCTTGAAAGAGAACTGAATCAGCTCCAGGCCCAAAGGGAACACCTGGCACAAGAAAGGCTCGAGTTCCAGCGCAGCTTGGCATTCGTTAAATGTCGTCTCACAGATCTTTACACCCAAGTATTTTCTCATTTGCGAGATGAAGATGGACAACCGTACTCGATAGATGAATATTCTTTACAGCAGACACCGGATGGTAAAATTTATCTGGTACCTCACACAATGCAGAAGAGAGAGCCATGCTGAAGAATTGGGGAGTTTCCTTACTCTGGAGAACGTTCTACCCGATTGTACCGGCTTTGACCGAGTCATACAGGAAGTTGTCATAAGAATGAGGTTCAGCTTCACATAAATGTATTAATGGACACTGTTCATGTTCTTTTAATGAATGAAACCAGATTTGTTTTTATACAAACACTTTATTAAAAAAAGTAAAAAAATAAAAACTGCACAGCAGCCTTCTTAAAATATTTTGAGCACCAGCATGAATTTTCAGCCAACCTGTGGGGAGAAGAGAAAACCACATTAATTCAAATGTTTTATTAAATAAATAAAAAATAGATGTGTCTAGAAGTAGTAATGGTTAGTACCTGGCAAAAACCATTGTCACAGAAATGAGGCCAGGTTTTGGGGTCCATGTCTCGTTACCCTACCTACCTACAAAATAGAAATACTATAAGTAAAACAATACCCCAAAAATACAAAATATTTGCTTATTTCATAGCATGCAATATGTTTGGGCCTCAATGCACAATTGGAGGCCAATTAAGTCAAATAGTAGAATGGTCATAAAACTTGATTAAATTATTACTGGGCTACATATCTCACTACCAGCTACATGACAAAATGCAAGATATACCATCAGTAGTTGAGAAGTCTGGTCTTACCTACAAACAGCACTTAAGCCTTTTGGTAGCTGCTGCCTGCTAGACTCAGGCCTCTGTTCTCACTCTCCCCTGCTTCAATGATCCTGGCGATGGTTTTGCTACTTCTCTCCCTCAGCTTGCTTCCATGGCTAGCCTCATAGACTTTGCATGTAAGCTAGCATTCTCCAGGTGATCTTTGCAGAAATCAGGGCAGAGCTTGTACCAAAGCGATGGGCTCTTTCTGATGATGGCATTTGCGCACCATTTCTTTGCCCGCCCTTTAACCAGTATTGCATATGCACCGACCTGAGCCAGCATGTAGGAGACACGGATATATGCTTTCCCCGGCCACCTTGTGATGTATATGGCTCAACCCATTTTCACCTAATAGTAAACCCTCCCTTTCCCAAAACCACTGAAAAGGCTAACGAGACTGTTAAAAAAACTGAAAGGTGTTTATTTCAGCTTGATTTGATGCAGTTACAAATAAAAACCAGACTTAAAGATCTACACAAAACCTCATTGGAATGCTTGCTTTCCATTAACACAATTGACGAAAAAAGAAAAACATAAGACAAAATGTTTAAATGAAGGCCCTCCATGATTTATCTACTGTACATCTCTTCTTGCAGCAGCTGTAACCTGCCACAACTCATAGGCTGAGCAGATTTAGGAGGTAAACCTGCAGTTGCCCTGTCACTTCGCTTGCTCTCCTCTCCTTGCTCTCCTCTCCTAAGTACTCAGTCCTGTTGAACAATACGGAACAACATCGTTAACTGTGCACTGACTTTGTGACCTGACATCCAGAGTGAATTTGTTTAAAGGTTATCTGCACTCAATGATTCCCTGCTCACCACAAGCTGTTGTTTTACATTAAAAAGAGACTCTTAAGGCATGCTCTCAAGCTCTTACCACTTTGTCATTTTAAAATCGTCCCGGACGTCCACCATAGCCGCTGTTGTTTGAGCCTCCGTATCCACCTGGAAGCAAAAAAACAAAGTCAAAACAAGAACTCAGCATACATAAAAGCATCTACTTGTGAAGTCTGGGAACTCATACCAAAGTTCCTGCCGCCGCCGCCGCCACCAAAGTTGCCCTTCATGGGGCCAAAGTTAGAGGCCTGGGGGTCGTAGTGGCCCATGTTGTTGTAGCTATTGCCGCCACCGCCGCCTCCACCACCACAATTGCCTGTGATTACAGAGTTTGTAGGATTGGTCAACCTCAAGCAAGTTACAATTCTAGTAAAAGGCAGTGTAATGGCATTATCTTACCATAACCATTGCTGTCATAACCATTTCCTCCATATCCACCACCCTGGTTGTAGCCCTGATTGTAACCACGGTTACCTCCATTGTAGCCACCAGGACCACCAGGTCCGCCTCCATAGCCTAAAAATATAAGACAGCCTTAAAATATACTGTGGAATTTAAGAAAAGCAAAGAAAATAGGAAGACACAACAAAACCATGCTCACCACCATCACCCCCGTTGCAATTGTAAGGACCATCTCCATATCGCCCCCTGCCACCTAAATAAGATAATCATAAGGTTAGCTACCACACAGTATAACAATCACTCCACTATCAACAACTATCAACAAAATAAGCCGTACCTTGATTGAAGCCCCGGTCGTAATCGTAGGGCCTGCCACCAGTGTTGCGACCTCCTCTCATTCCCATACCCATTCCCGCACTCTGCATTTCCTGCTTTGTGAGGGCCTTCCTCACCTCACAGTTGTGAGAGTTGATAGTGTGGTATTTCTGGACTGTGGAAAGAATTTTTTTGTAAACAAGCTAGCCAACAATCAAAAGTCTGACAAAACATGCAGCTGGGAAAAAAGTCAACGTCTGCACTTACTGACAATCCGATCAACTGAATCGTGGTCGTCAAACGTAACGAAGGCAAAGCCCCTCTTCTTCCCAGTGTTGCGGTCAGTCATGATATCAATGACCTCTATTTTGCCAAACTGCTGGAAATAATCCCTCAGGTGTGACTCCTCTGTGTCTTCTTTGATGCCTCCAACAAAGATCTTTTTCACAGTTATGTGGGCTCCTGGTCGGTTTGAGTCCTGGAATCAAAGACATTTGTTATTGTAATCACTATGCGCCTTTTGAATGCAAGAACAACTGCACCTCATCCAGTTGTTACACACCTCCCTGGAAACGGCTCGTTTCGGTTCTACCACTCTTCCATCGACCTTATGGGGACGGGCTGACATGGCAGCATCAACTTCCTGCACTGATGAATATGTTACAAAGCCAAAACCCCTGGATCTCTTGCTGTTGGGGTCCCTCATGACCTGAAAGAAAAATGCTTTTGGATTAGCTCATACATAGAGTAACCAACATGCTCTACATTCTTGCAGAATCATGACCACTCAAACAAGACTACATCTTTAATGAAGCCCGACTTACCACGCAGTCTGTAAGAGTCCCCCATTGCTCAAAATGAGCACGCAGGCTTTCGTCTGTCGTCTCGAAGCTCAAACCTCCGATGAACAGCTTGCGGAGCTGCTCCGGCTCACGTGGGACCTATACAATAGACAAAGCAATGCAATAACATCTGATTAGCTTCTCCAATGTTGCCTTTAATGTAATACCACCATAACTCTAATGTGATAGTAGTAGTAACTAATGCAGTTCCCCGTCTACATACATCCTTCCCTCTCCCCTTATTTAAATTCAGGGCGTGTGGAGGAGGGACACACCGCCGCCATTAACGTTAGCAAAACCGCTGAAAGACCAGCGAATAGGGCAAATATTAGAAGTACTTATATGTCATATTTGGCCGTGATTTACATGCGTGTTGCATTTAAGCGTGATTTTCCATCGTAAATGTTGATTCAAAGTCCTAAATTTCCACTGCAGCTCATCCGCAGGAACAAAAGGCCACGAGGCCTGGCTGCTATAAAATGGCGGCGTTTCAATACAGCTACGACCCAAACCGGAGACTGTACTACGAATCAAAAGCATGCAGCAACTTCATATTTCCTACCTTCCCTAACATAAAAGAACGCATGCAACAACAGAGCAGTAGTCCCGAGCCCAGTACTCACACTCTCTCTCGACATGTTGCAGATTTAGCCTTGAAGACGTGTTGTGTAACTTGCGAAGAGCCGAGATCTGCGTCAGACGAGCGTAGCCTGCTATTCAACAGTACAATAAATAGCGACGGTAACGCCCCTGTCGCACGGCAATTGGGCAGCTATTCCCGCTGCAGTTTGTCGTCCGCAGTGATTCAATTTTGATTGGGCCATATAGAATCAATCATTACCAACATCCAATCACCTGGCGTGCAATGACGACAATGAAAAAAGGGATTACGGTTGTTGTACGTGAAAAGGAAAATTTCAAGAAGGTATCGAGTCTGTCGTGTATAACGCATTTAAGTCAGTAAGCATACAGTGGGCACAGCTCGCTAAGTTATGTTCCTGGAAAACACAAGGAAGATGGTCAGTTTTTTTTAGATTAAACATCATACGAACCGTAAATGATTCCTTTTTTGATTTGTGGGCGGAAGTACAGCAGCCTTGTACAGCAATAGCCCTACCTCCCACATTAACATACACACCTTCTTATCAAAGAAAAATATTTTCTATACAGAGTGCACACGTATTAAGATAAAAATATTCCAAATTGTTACAGAATAAACTTAAAAACACGATAGAGGCACATTCAACCACTTTATATGAAGATCATCAGCTGACTGAGGGGCGGGTCGGTTATTGTGCGTTTTTAACGCGCGCTTTTTTGCGCACAGCACCTTTGTGTGTATGTGTATGTATGTGTGTGTGTGTGTGTGTGTTGTGCTAGCTGCTAAAGTAGCTGAAAGGTTGGCCTCGCCGCTCCTCCACAAAGACAGGGTTTGACGGGTACAGATCGACGGTTGGGACCTCCAGAAGAGTAAGACATTATTTTTGCAATATCGAGTTTCATGCCGCTGTAGATATGGGCGCATGGTTCGATAGCATAGTTGTTTAGCTCGATTTAGCGGTTGCTTGCAGGCTACCTGCTGTAGCAAGTTTTCATTTGCTTTGCTGCTAGCGCCATTCAGCTAGTAGCCGTCGTCCTTGCTATCTGTACGTTTTTGTAGTAACAGTGACCGACTTTTCACCGATTTAGCGAGTAGATTGCGATCTGGATATTTAGCTGCACTGTTTAGTTGGCCTTTTTAACGTTGCATGTTGCAATTAAACAAACGATGACGATATTAAGCCTCTCGTTGAAATATGATAACAATCTTGCTAGCCGCGGCTAATTAGCTAATGTTAAAGTGTTACCGATCTGTAATTTGTAGCTGCTTTGCGATTGGAGTGATGTGGCTGTGTAGCCATTATTCTTTTAAAAATGGGTGCGTTTTTTATTAACTAGAGCTAGTGGGAGAGCGATCAAAACTCAAATATTTTTAACGCGAGCTTTTCCGTTCTTTCTAAACAGGGAAGTGTCACCTGCAACCGCGTTGTGTTAAGCACCAAACTTTACCATGGGCAAAAAGTCTCGCGGAGAAGAGTCTTCATCCTCTGATGAGGAAGAATATGTTGTGGAAAAAGTGCTGGACAGGAGGGTGGTGAA